TAGGACACAGCTATTTATGTTTCAATAAGACTTTAAGGTAATTTCCAATGCTCGTTAAATTTTGATAATCACTGGTGCAGAGAAATCCCTAAATATATCTCCTCACCTCTCCTCGCCTTCAAGGTGAAGGTTATCTTATTGACTTCGGAATACTGTGCACTTCGTGTTCTGATAGAGAGCCCAAGCATTTAAAATAATGAATTTGTTAATTAAATACAGGGTACCAGTCATGTTATCTAACCTTAACTGGACTCAGTGATGCTTACCAATTCTATTTTTTGCTCATTGCCTTTTCCTATTGTTCTAGGCTTTCCATTTCCGTTCAATCACTAAGTCTGTTCTTCATTCTTCAGAGATGCAAAGCTTTAGTTTGTAACTTTCTTTGGTACATTAAAGCATTTCAATCAACTTTCCTTCTCCATTCCTTGGTGATCACTCCATATATCTAGCCAATTTCTCAACCCTTGCTACTGACTCAAGGAAACGTTCAACTTTCTGGGTAAAAAGTGAAGAACTCCACTTTGATTCTTTTCTCACGTCATTCCTGTGAGACCCTGTTTTATCTATTTTCTTGCATATTCCACTTTTTCTAAGCACCTTGATTTTTTATGAGTGCCTAAATATGCTTATATATTTATTGGTAACCTGATAAGAAGCAAGGAGAATTGTCACTATCTTCTAGTGACAATGCTAACTGCATCCCACACTTAATTTTAAAAAATTTATCACACATGTATATATGTATATGCATATCTTTATATATTACATATAATATATATATACACACACACACACACACACACACAGAGGGTACCAAAAAATGTACACACATTCTAAGAAAGGGAAAAACTGTATTAAAATTGTAATACTCAACATATACCAATAACAAAAAGATGAATACAAGTCATGTGTACACATTTTTTTGGCACCTCTGGGGTGTGTGTGTGTGTGTGTGTGTGTGTGTGTGTGTGTGTGTGTATACAAAGCTATTTTAACCATTTTTGATTGTATAATTCAGTGGCATTAATTACATTCAGTGTTGTGCAATCATCAACATTATATATTTCTAAAGCTTTTCTATTACCCCAAATGGAAACTTTGTACTCATTAAGCAAAAACTTTCCACTCCCCATCCTACCCAGTCCCTAGTAATCGCGAATCTACATTTTTGTCCCTATGAATTTGTGTATTCTAGTTCATTCATATAAGTAGAACCACAGAACGCTTGTCCTTTTGAGCTAACTTATTTCACTTACCATAATGTTTTCAGATTCATCCAGCTTGTAGTACTTATAGGAAACTTTCCTTTGTATGGTCAATACCTATTCCATTGTCTGTATACACCATATTTTGTATATCCATTCCCCTATTGATGGACACTTGCACCATTTCTACATTTTGTCTATTAATCTAAATAATGCTACAATGAGCATTAGCGTACAAGTGTCTGTTTGAGTCTCTCTTTTTAATTCATTTAGGTATTTACATCAAGGAGTGGAATTGCTTGGTCATATGCTTAGCTTTCTGAGAAACTGCCAAACTGTTTTCCACACCAGCTGCACCATCTAACATCCCCACCAGCAACGTAGAAGAGTTGCAGTTTTTCCATATCCTGATCAACACTTGTTAATTTGTTTTTAATTATAACCATCCTCGTAGATGTGAGTGGTACATCATTGTGAAGTGCAGCTCATTTGATTTGCATTTCTTTAATGATTAATGATGGTGAGCAGCTTTTCACATACTTGTTGAAAAATTATCTTTGTCTTTGCTACATTCAATAATATCACAAAATGGCTTTAGAATTGCAACTTGTGTAAGTATAAACAAAGTGATGATTTTTACAGTCCTCATCCACCCTATTACTTTCTTCACTCAGGTTTTCTCGGCACAGATGTAGCTACATAGGGATAAACAGAATTGAGAACGAACACACAAAAACTCAAATATATAATCATATTTCTTTATGGATGAATTTATATCTCTCTGTGTTCTACAGAACTCATTCAGCCCTTCCTTTCTTTGCACAGGTTTATGGGTGTAGATATAGATACTGAGGGATAAATAGATGCAAGAAGAAACATAGAAATACCAACAGGTCAAAGAAAATGTAGCGTCATATAATTTATGTATGGATGTATACTTTGCCTCATTCCAAGAAAAGGACTTGAATTGTCAAAAAGATACTGAAAGCAAAAGGTATCAACGTTGAGCATTCACAGTCTTATCTCTTATCTCTTCCTTTTGCAAAAACAAAAAATGTAAAAAGTGCCCCTATCTTTGTGCATTGGTTCTCAAACTTATGCAAAGTGACATAGGGCTAGACTGAATGGACCAATTTACATTGGGAAGGACATAGTAACTCTCTATAGAAGAAAGGACCTTAAGGTAAGTGGGAAGTGATGAAAAGCACAAAAGTCTGTGTTTTATTTATGTATTTTTAAAAATTTTATTTACTTTTTTACATTAGTTTCAGGTGTACAACACAGTGCAATAGTTATGCTTTTTGAGGTGTAAAAGTCTGTGTTTTTTTTAAGTGAAAGATGGAGCAATTAACTGAGCTCTTTTGAGGGGAGCTTTATGGAGATAGATGGGTAAAAAGGAGAGTTAAGAAATATGCACTGTGTGTGACTAGAACTCTGGAGAGGATTTTCATTTAAATCCCAATTAAAATTTAAATAGCTGTTTAGTCATTTTTGGATATTAGATTGTCATTTGTTTTGAATAAGACACCACCATGCTGAAATAGAACAATAAATTAAAGACACAGTTGCTTTCTTGTCTGATCAATGAGGATATTCATGAAAGAGAACCAAAAATATGTAGAATATTATAGAATATAAGTGTGAAAGAGCACCTAGTTGGGAATTATGAAATATGAGTCCTAGTCTGGGTTTAGAAAGAACAAAATTTCTTCGTGCCTCTAATCTGCTAATATTCTGTCTTATTTTGTTTATAAGACAAAAGAAAAAATACACAAAATATGTATCTGTTTCGCCTTATGACCTTACCACTCCCGAACACAAATCATTCACAAGGAAATGTATGAGATTAATTATAAATACATTTCTCCAATGGGCAATCAATCCTGATATAATCTTCATTTTCCAAAGAAGTTGGGATAATATATATATAAATGATGGGCCTTGACTTCACAGTTTCTGGGAACTCAGAATAGACTTTTTTAAGCTCCTATCTTTTCACTATGACCACATCTACAAGTGAACCTATTTTCCAGGCAAATTTGCTGGATCGTTTCAGCCATTCATCTTCACCCAACCTATCAGGCAACCTGTGTAGTCATTGTAGTAACCAAGGGACCGGTTCTGTTGGATTTCAATTTGATGTGTTTTAGCGCAATAGACAGTTTGAGGTGTTTGGGAGATGCACAGGCAACTGTCTCAAGAACTTGTTAGTTACTAAGGTCCTATGTGACATGAATTACTTCTCATTAGAGGAAAACTATTTGGAGATCGTTTTTTCAATACTGTACTTACTGTGCCTTATAGACAGTTTTTAAAAAAAAATCTTTGAATCTATTTGTATTATTGCCAAACTGTACAACCACAATGTGGCAGAAAGCTCAATGACCTGATATCAAGTGAGTGGGGTTGTGGTCCTGCCTAATCTACTAATTTTGAGAAAAGTTCTTGCTTGTTCTGAGACACGTTCCCTCATTGGTAAAATGAGAGGGCTGAACAAGAGGGCTGCTGCACCATTCACCTGGGGTATAGTATACTCTGTGCCATTTTAATCTGCTTATTCCAAAATGTATAATAAGTGGATTCAGAAGTGAAATAGATGCTGAAGTTCACATTACTGTTTACCTGCTCTGTTTTTATGTGGCCCCCCAAACTTGAATCAGAAAATGGAGCCATAGCTGTCAAATTAGACACTGGAACCACAGGTCCAGCCCATTTCACTATGGAACACACACAAATAGCTCTTTGTAAATTAAGGAAATGCCCAAGTGCAAATATTTGCTGCTGACTTTAAAAGAGAGAGTGAAAATCTAAACCAAACTATGGCAAATCTACACAGACAATAAGAGAAAAATCAATGTGATATGCAGAGCATGATCTGCTATATTAGACATAATCAACATCAGCATGTTCTCAATAGCAGTATTCTGTTTGTCACTGGAAAAAATGGATCCATGATTTTGAAAATTAATACTAAGACCCGCCACCCAGGGCACTCCCACTTACTACTTTCTTGCCCCAACATTCTCTTGCCACCGGATCTGACAGTCCCATTATCAGAGCAATTTACTTGAGTTTAGGTAGAGGGTTTTTGCTTTTTTTTTTTTTTCCTCCAGAAAACCACTATTTAATAGCATGTATAACCATGGAGCAGGAACTCAAACTTACACTGTAGGATGAAACAGGTTCTACCTCTACCAGCATTTCTACTTTGACCCATCATGGTAGCATCAATCATTTTGTAAGTTTTGAAGAAAATAGCTCTCTCCTTTTTTGTGCCTCCCTAAGAAATGCAATTAGAGAAGAAGCTTCACAGAAAGGAGGAGGAACCACGGAAGCCTGGGGCAGCTGCAGACATGTTTACTCCCAACATTGATACAGAAGGTACACAACCAGAACTGGCATATATAATAGTTAAGTTTCCATGGCTTAGTTAAACAACAATAGCCTCCCAACAACATGATTCAAATTTCAGTTACTATGATGGTGTATTCACCGTGAGTGAGTCCAGAAAGTACAAACTCTCCTGCTAGCCCTTTAGACCAGAAGTCACTAGGTAAATAACAAGTGCACTATCATCAGTGACCAATCATGTCCCTTCTTTCAAAATCTGTAAGTGGTCGGTCATTGAACCTCTGTTATTCTGTTCACACACAGACAACAAAACACGGACTTCGTTGTGTCATCTTCTTGTCTCCCTGCAATAAACTCATACAACATTATACAGAAATGGATAATTGAAAGAGGGATTTGGCCAACAAAGATGAAAAGTTCAGCATAAAAAAGTGAAGAGGGACAATGCCAGAAGTGGCGCTTGAATCTAACATACACAGAGTTGTAGAAGAAATAGCTGGCCATGGGAATAGTGACACTGCCGCCATTCGAGAGCCCCTAGATATGCAGTCAGAGGCTTCAGGGAAGGCTGAGGCCAAGGTCTAGTCACAAAGGAGGAAAGTGGTTTTGACGGAAAGGATGAAGATGTCCCAAAAGACGTGAGACTGGCAGAAGCTTCACATTAAAAGATCCCTCGGGTGTGCTTCACAACGTTGAAAGCATGAGGGATAAGATGTTGGAAGTTGATTCCAACTTAGAATGGAGTATGACAATTTGCCAAGGCATAAAAAAGACACTCGCTCTATATTGTAAGTTACAAGATGAGATGCAAAAGGCAAGTATTGTTCCCATTACTCTTGATAAGATTTTAACAAAGAAATAAAATGCTTTAATGCTCGAGGTTTCTAATATTTTAAATTACAGTATGCTAAAATACATGTACTTAGTAGAATAATGAAGATTTTAAATTAACTAATGAACTATTAATTAAATTTATAATTTTATACAGCAATATATTACATTATACACATGTAATTATGATATAGTTGAAATTGTTTCAAAAATTTAAAAAATTCTACAATGTTATAAAGTTATAAAAATGGAATGCACATTTACTACAATAGTTGTATTATGTTTTTATTTCCCTATACATTTATAACTGACAGTGTTTTGAATGTTTTCACAGAAATGTGGTAAGGTGAAAGATCAATTGTGATTTTCCCCCTTGATCATTAACTCTGCTTTGCACAGTTTCATCTTAGTCCTTTTTATGACCCTGCACTACTGTGTAACATGAAGATGACCTGTATTTAAAATTATAATTACCCAGGCCAGCTGAATGGCTCAGTTGGTTAAGAGCTCGCTCAAGAGTGTGAGCTCTGAGCAACAGCGGTTCGATTCCCAGCCTGAGCTG